AGGCGCCTGGGATCTAATGCATTGCTAAGTTTCGCAGTTTTAGATAAAGCTCTGTGTCCTTAGCGAGCAGTATTATACCTGGGGTGGAAAGTGATGGTGACAGGAAACAGTGATGGTGGTAGCGACGTTAGTGGTGATGATGGCAGCAGACACGAATGGTGGTAGCGACAATATTGGCGTTGGTCCTGATGGTGGCAGCTGGCGACGGCGATGAATGTTGGTGGAAGATGTTGGCGAGTAGTGACGTGACGACAGTAGTGGTGGTGGTGGTGGTGAGGTGTGAAAACAAACGACAACTTTGGTGGTGGTGATGGTGGTGATTGCAGGTGACTATTGAACAACCATAGTGACATAATACTTCCCCGACGTAATCATCTTCACGGCACACTTTATCCCATTGTTCACTCATAGCAGCATTCCCGAGGTTCACATTTACCCCACACAGCTTCATAACTTCCCACACTCAGATTATTTATTGTATCACTTTAACATAACTCGTGTTGTAGGGCTGTCACTCACTCCAGCCTAATATATATATCGATAAATTGAAGGGAAATAAAAAAAAATACAAATAGAGAAAAGATGAAAAATAAATAAATTATAAAATACAAAAAGTTTAAATGTTGTAACAGTTACATATGTATTTATTAATCCTGTACCACCTAGCGAGAGTCAGCCTTTTTTGTTGTTGTTGTTGTTGTTGTTGTTGTTGTTGTTGTTAACTATTTAATTTTATGGCTAAATAAACATTTTCATTTTCCAATTTCTATATGGTGTATAAAAACAGGCCCCGGTCACTCACCTCCACCACCAGCACCCACCGGCACCCTGACGCCGTCTTTGCTCCTTCGGGTTTTTGTTTATTTTACCTTGTGTGCGGCTCCTCCCGAGGACAAAACCCTTCCCATGCAATTAACGTTTGTTTGCTCTAGTCCAGGATTGCAACAGGGGGTGAAGTGGGCGTGAGGAGATTCATCAGTTTTCTCCACTCTTAGGTTATTTGTTTTCCCGTGAGGCAGTTTAGATAAGACGCGTGTGATGGTCGCACTCATCGCTGACTGCTGCCATTATGGGACCTAATGGACTGATGCTGCGATAGACACGTAGAAAGGACAGACAGGTAATCAAGCATGAGGAGAATGGTTAAGGCCGTTGATATACTTATAGACAATTATAATTAAGTTGTGACACAAATTAAAGCTAAGTTATTATTAAGATCAAGGGTAATAGACATAATTTACAACAGTCACATAAAATCAGAGGTTAAAGACGGCTCCACGCTACTCCCAATTGTCACAAACGATCTGCTTTTTCTGGCAGAACACATGTGTGAACCTCATGAGTATCGGAGCGTGAATCCGAAGCCACTAAGTTACTCGGTGAAACATGAGGTGCACACAGTAGCCTGGGACCACAATGATATAATTTGACTCATTACATAGTCCGGCAACGTTTACATAGAGTAATTGATGTAGTGTGGACGCTTTTAACGTGGAGTGAATAATACCTGTCCTGCAGTGTACAATGTAAGGCTGAAACAGTTGGTTACACAGTATAAATCTGCCACTTCATTTATCCTCAAGCAGAGTGTAAGAGACGTTAGTATAGTGCTGGGCTTTATGGAGTGTGGTGTGGTGCCTCGGATTCTGACTCAAAGTCAATAGTCTGGCCTGTCACACTTCTGTCAAACTGCCGATTTTACTACCTGTTTACCAAATATCACTTACGTGACAGGAGAAGCACCATCTCTGATCATTACACACAGATATACACCATTAATATGGTATAGTCCATTGTTGTGGTGTACAAAACACGCATATAAACACCATTTCTATTCATGCAAAGGCACATTTTGTCATGATTCAGGTGTGGCCCAAAGTTGACATGAAGAGCATGACTTCTGTCCACACACTATAGCAGACAGGATACATTAATGTTTTATTGTTTATCTCGGAATTCAGAGATTAAGTATTTCTTTTTTAACAGTATGGCAGTACAACTGTTCCCTGTCCTCTGTCTAGCTCACACAGAGACTTCCCCTCCCCTTCGTCTCCTCATGTCACATCACATCTGGAGAGTCGTAAAAAAAATAAAATACAGAACCTTTTGCCTTCTGTATATTTTTGTTACGACCCCAGACACACGGGAGCCAGATTTGTACTGCACACTATACACACACCATGGCGCTACATCTGGTACCCGCACAAGTACCGTATGTCTAACAATGGATGAAGGACGAGGGTTAAAACTATAGGCAAACAGGAAATGCTTGCAACATGTTGAACTGCTGCCGACCGACTTATCATTGTCATTTATAATTAACGTAATTTTCCAACTTCCTGGGTATGTTTCTATTGTAAATTACATTATATTAACAATTTGATGTTTATGTATATAGAATCAGATGCATCCATTATTTATTGGGTCAAGAGTAACCCCGTCATAAAAGGACACCATATTGAGAGACTCCAGCCCGACTCCCCCATCACCAAGACAGTTATAGGGTGTATTAAAATGTGTTTGGAGGCTAATTTATCGTACCAATGTTGACAGCTAATGTTTGGAATAGAAATAGTTCTCAGTTATCATAACGGAAAGCAATACCCAATGTGTGAAAATATGAGACAATTTTGCGTTATATTCCCAGTTTATAAGTTTGTTTTATCACCTTTAATCTTTTATATACATAACTCGTGCCATATAAGAACATAATAATACAATAACGGTTAATTATCATTATAATGGTTGGGTTGGTGATCCTGGTACGCAAGGACTGGTGACTCCTTCACCCTCTCACCCTCTCATCCCCCCCTCACCCTCTCACCCCTTCCTCACCCTCTCACCCCTTCCTCACCCTCTCACACCTCCCTCAGTCTCTCCCCCTCTCCCTCACCCTCTCACCCCCTCCTTAGCCCCTCATCCCTCATCCCCCATCACCCATTCTCACCCTCACAACCCTTAAAATCTATTGTTTAAGAACGCTTATATATTCACACTCTATACTGTCTTGTTACTCCATCTTGTTTACAAAATCTCTCAAGGCAGCAAAACATTTTAGGAAGTAAATTGTTCCCGTCCTTCCTCCGCCTTTAAACCTATGAATTTTTTTTGTTTATCTTCATCATTCGGAATGTTGTCGGTGTAGAGAATTATGTCAGGGTACTTTTGTTTCAGTAGTCCAAACCCCCACTACTTATCCTTGCATACCTTACGATCTCTTGTTATAAAGAAAATTTACGGTCACTTTTATCTTCAACACCAACTTGGTAATTCATTTTCACAACTTCAATTTGTTTCATATTCGTTCCTATATTTCTAAGCTGTTCGATTTTACAGTAACCTGTGTTTCGCCTCATGTGAACTATTTCTCTCACAGCAATATGGTATAACAAAATAATCTTATGTAGCATTGTTCTGAAAATATTTTATTTTAATTCTATAAATTTTCGAGAACAAATTTATTTGTTAAAAGTCATCCGGGCTTCGAGATCTAGAGAAAAAAGTAACATCAGGTTATATTGTGCTGTGACATGACTTTACGGGGGATTGCAATTTTGTTCCAAAACAGAACTGGAATTTTACGTTCATTGTGGGAGCAGATTAGTCTACGATTTTTAGGACAACATTATCGACACTTTTAATATTTTATTATTTTCATAGGAGGGCCGAGCATGAAAATAACACGCACTCTAGACCATAAAAAAACGTAAAATATATAAGTGACGAGCTCTTTGCGGCAGGTAGTGTTTGATCACCAAAATACTCACTGACATTATCGAATATACATACGGTACATATTCCTGGAAACAGACACTCTAGAATTCTTAAACATAATGATGTTTGGACATACAATTAAATATTAAATTGGCTTCCACAAGTTCACACACACACACACACACACACACACACACTTGTAAACAAATCCTGTGGCCTTTAACTGTCTGCTGAGTTGATCTCTCAATCTCCTAGCAAAAACTCCAACTCAGGGACGTGAGGTGAAGGCCGAACAGTGCTGGCGGACCTGATTAAATTGTTTAGGTGAAAGTAATCTGTGTGTGTGTACTATTTCATCCAGTGCCCACTTGGTTATAGATGGCCGGAAACGGGAACAAATTCAAACAGATTTTCTCGCCATTCGCTGTCACTCTTCTATTCTTATTGTTGTAAAAGATGTAACCTGCAATAAGGCCCTAAACCTGGTTTGTCTCTGTTGCGTCACATAAGCATCACTTACCACATCATGCTTTTTGTTGATTAAATCTTCCTTTTGCGTCCTGACCAATAATTAGTTGTCAAGAAAATTTGTTCTACAGTCGATCTTTTGGTAATCTTGTAACAACGCGACGCGAGATACTTGATGACTCAAAGAACAATCTGTGTTGAAAGTTATCAGCCAACGTATTTCAGCCATGTCAGCCTGGAGAAAGCTATTGTAGGTTACCTTTATCACAGAAAAAAAATAACACACGCTTGATGATGTAAGGAGTCACACCCGGAACTGGACTGTAAGAGGATGGATAACGACAGCATTAGTTTGGGTGTGTCAACGAGGAGCCATATGCAGAACTTACTGCACTGTTATATATCTGTTGACTGTTTATGACTTTTACTTCAAGATGGAATACTCGTCACTAGACTCAACGAAAGTGAACAAAATATATCGTATATACTGTATATAACAATGATAACAAAAAGGGTAAGGACGTGTAGATGAAGGAGGAAAAACGATACCAAAAGAGAAAATAAAAGTCAAAGAGGAAGGGAAATACAGTACAGTGAGGAATAAATAAAAAAGAACGAAATGAGGGTTAAGAGAGAGAGAGAGAGAGAGAGAGAGAGAGAGAGAGAGAGAGAGAGAGAGAGAGTGCAGTAGTTGGAGGCTACGTGAGGGGTGAAGGGTTCGGCGTCCCTGTACTGCGTTTAGATTAGATAGGTTAAGTGTGTGTCTGTGCGATAAGGGATTACTTGAGAGTATTTGTCTTGAGAGGAGATGCAACGCACATTCTCGCTGGCTCAGTATCTGCGGCGTGGAGTACGGATGGGGCAGCTCCAGCTCAGTGCCAGTGCCAACCTTGACTCCTGGGCTGCCACACTGGCGGCAAATGACGTTGCTTTCAATTTTTTTCGCGATGAGACGATTGGTAGATAGTTATTGTTTTTTGTGTCAACGTGAGTGGTTTTACACATCTGTTATTGTGTTTCAATGATCTCACCGAAAGGAAGTTTGCCATGACGATCACCTAATCGGTCGGTGTGTTTCAGTTTCATCTTACAACGATTTTACGACGCAGACAGCCCCCTAGTGCCTAAACTGAAGATTTAACTTCCCGAATGCAATGCACGTTTCACTATTATCATTCCTCAGTGATAGTAGAGATTATTTTGTGGAATCGTCGATATTCAAGATTTATTTATTTTATTTTATTTTTTCAATCCTGGTGAATGAACTGGGACGTAATTGATGAGTAACATATGTGTGATCCTGTCCAGTGAACATGTCAGCAAAGAATGGAAAAGCAAATGCGTTTTCTTTGATGTCGGGCAATGAACTCTCGAGAAAAAAAAAATCCATTGGGACATTATGTGAAAATTCTGGATAATTTCGTACATTTTACTCTCCTCTTCAGAGTCTGTGAGGTGCTTAGGTGAACGATTGCAGACTACCAATTGAATCTTATTTTATATTTTGGTGAATTTGCTCTTAAAGGTGATACTCTGATATTGTTGTCATCTACTTAATCCAGTATATTAATGCATTAATTGTGGCGAGGCAGTGAATAATTTGATGTAGCGGTGATTGATGCTACATTGGATGTGGTGCTGAAGTGAATATGACTCTGTAGTGAGTAATATGCTACAGGTAATACAGCAGTGAGTTTTATCCACCAAGGAAAATAAAACAGCAATGGATATGATGAAGCAGTAAGTATAATGCTGCAAGGAATATGGTACATTATAAAATATTATACTACAGTGAATATGATACTGTATAGGATGTCCATAAGGCTGTACCGTAAGTCTGTGAATACTCTTGTAATATATAAGATTTATATTAATATATTGACTGTGAATATGATGCCAAGGTGAATAATTATACGAGAGGAGTAAGGCAGATGGAAATACGATAGTTATATTAGTTAACGTTGCTTTAAGTCCAGCCATAATGTTTGAAAAGTTTTGTAGGAGAGGAGTTAAGGTATTTACGGACGAATTGGGAATTACTGTACTACGTTTACCTGTATATTACAACGAAGATATATGAAGTATTATCTAATGGGAGTGTATACACGGTAACATTATCGAAAACGTAATGCTGTTCTGCTAGAACACTTTGAGAGCTTTATGTGTTCGGGTACCGTAAGACACCCATATTCATACCTACGGTTGACTGTATTTTGGTGATCTGTCGGTGTAATATCTACAAGTCTGTCAAAGTAATCTGATGGAATGTCGATTTATAATGAGATGGTATCAATGGTTATGATGCAGTGGTATAATGTGAAATATTGTCTATATATATTGTGTCCAGTATTTCCGTGTGAGTAAAGTGCCTAAAGGGTAGTATGGCAGGATGTGGTGATTGGTGTTAAGAACCTACGGTGTGTTGTCAGGAAATTAAGGATTAGCTAATAAACGCTAATATTAATGATTCTTACAACAGACGAATGGACGCGTTTAGTGTTTTAATATTAAACGAAGCTGCAGACGAGAGATAAAGGCCTTGTTATTATTACCTCGAAGTTATTTTTGATAGGTTTTATGTAGAATATACAACTTTTCGACTTACATAATTATTAATCAAGGCTGAAAAAATCACTTAGAACTTCAATTTAATGTTTTTATATAATTTTTGTGTATTTATAGTGATGGCATGTGAATAAGGTGTCTTATCACCTATGTTATACAGTCCATTCACTTCTTACACCCCGTGGAAATTACTTCATAACTGTTCACTAAATGTTGCCATATCTTTACAAGGAAAATATTGACATAAGCATAAGAGAGTTCACTTTTTTTTTTATTAAATTAGCGGTCTAAGTTAACATTGCAGTAGTTTGGTTGGTGTCGTCGTGGAATGTGAGTCTTGTACAGTACAGCATACGGATATGTTTGGATGAGTATATTTTACACTGTAATTTGGTTATCTGTAATCCGTATTTCTTGCCACATTTTCACCTTTAGTATTGTACAGTAGATAAGAAATTTAAATAACAAACATTACTGTACAGTATATACAAGATGTTTAAGTTAAAAATTTATTGTATTGATACCTAGTCACGTGTGCCTTAAAAAATACGTACACCAATTAAGTACGTTTTCATACGGTGTATCTACAGTATCTGGCGTACTCATGGCTCTTAAGTGGCTCACGTGGCCATGAGCTCATCTCTGAAAGGATACTTGAATCAAGAGTTGAATAAACATAAGGTAATCTTTATCGCAAGTATTCGGGTATGTTATCCCACCCCATCTTGAGGCGCTTATCATCATTCAAACATCACAACAACGTCTTATATACTAACTCGGGTGTTGTAAGACTGTAGTATTACACACCTCAAGCACCCTAAACCCTCGCCTTCGTCTTTATGTAACTTTTAATAATTCTATGTATGTATTCACCGACTTATCTGTAGATTTTTCTGTGTAAATTAGATTTTTTTAGTTATATTTTGGAGGTGATTGTGTTTACACTTAGAAAAAGCAACATAAAATAACACTGGTTTATTGCAATAATTATACCCTTGCCAATATTTCCGTATGTGCTCCTTTAATGAGTGCTGCATTTTGGCTTTTCCTACGACCATTGTCATCAGTTGATGTTGTTGATATTGCACTATAATGTAATACTGCGCTTCAACAACTAAGGTCCAAGTTATCAAAAAAAATAAGATTCATCTTGCTAGTGATGCCTGCTGAGAGCTCTGAAAACCTTGACTGAGGCCTCACTTGAAAACATTGTTGTTACAGGATCCCTAAACTGAAGGCCTGAAGAACCTATGGCATGGCCTTGCCTTATCGTTATCATTACTGCCAATGCCATTGTCGATATCAGTACTTATTCTTTGTCTAAATTGGGTATATTTTCCCTCGGTTTCCTTCGGGTTCTCATAAAACGTTGACTTGTCATTCTCATACTCTGTCCTCTGAGGAGGAGTGAGGCAGTCAGTGGGTTATCGACAAATTCATATAACTGTTGTGTTATTGGTTGTCTGATGTTAGTTCATGTAGTAGGTGAGGACAGAAGACTACTAAACTGGTGTTATAATCTGACTGAGAGGCAGACGAAAACAACTTAAATCTGGTCTGTGTTGTAACGCTAACTAACGACCTTGGACCATCCTTCACACGGTAGTAACTCTCTAATATTCCACAGCCAACAGAAGCTATGACTTGTGTAGTGTGTCACCTTTTACCATTAGAAGATCAATTTCGGTTGTGAAGTTTGACTCATAGAAAGAAGTGGATGATGCTTATGATGAAAAAGATTAACTGGTAATAAAACACACACACAAGCGTATGATTGAGAAGGTTTATAATATATTTACTCTAGCATACCTATTATTCATATACTTTACGAATAATAATTTGAAGGTAAACATATCAGTTACCTCGCTCGTCTCCTCACCTCTATACCTTACCATTGCTTTTAACTTTCTTCTGTAATTATGATAGACAGAATTACAAATGTTATCAAACAGAGGGTCCAATTGGTTTGATGTGGGGAAATTATAGGTGAATTTATCTTATAATAGAGGGACATGACCAACTCCCTGGGGCAAGGAGGTCATCACAAGGCACTCACAACAGGAGTGGTCCACTTAGGAGAGAAGCCGTGCGTGTGATTATGATGATGATCCGTGGCGCCACCAACTCCATCTGAAGGAGTTGATACAGTGTGTGGGAGGGAACACATTCTTGGTTTACACTTTTGTTATTTCATTTTCTTTCTGTTACGCTTTGTTTTCACTCGCTCCCTTTCACCCATTGCCTTAAGCCGACACCAAGAGGCCGAGATGTCTGCCTCGTGTCAAATAGCCTTATTGGTGATAAATTTTATGCACGAGAGTCGTAAACGCTAAAAGACTAAAAAAGTTATTAAAGTTCGACAGTCTTGAAATGGAGACGAGTTAAGGTGGCCCACAGAATCACGTACAGGTATCATCGCAGGTATCAGTATTTGTTGTCATATAATTAAGTTAACGAAGTAATATTAATACATATACCTCAAGATTCTTACAACTCCTTTATTGATAGGCTGGTGTTATTTCCCCCCAGTCTGACAAACCTCTTCACCTTCAAACCAAAGGAGCGGGACAGAAGCAAGACGCCACAGTGTTCAGCTTCATCACACCCATTATTTATCTCTTGCGTCATAGAGGCTATAGTGTGGCGGTCCCTTTAAATGACGTGTGAGTGTGACCTCGCGTACTAAGCCCATTCATTCTATTGATATATTAAAATTCATTCTCTTCCTTTGTTTCGTATCATTGTCATTTATTTTGGATTGCCAAATTTGCCTCACGTAAAGCTGATTTTTTTATGGATATGATCTTCAAGTGGATTCGATCCGAACTTTGTTTTTTATTGGTGATATTAAAATGAAATCAGCTCACTCGCAATATCAAGGTATTTTTTATATCAGTATTAAAATAGTCATAATTTTATCAAGTTTCCTTTATGTTAAAGTAAGAAACACGGCCAGTATTCAAGTGTGGAAGCTTCCGGGCTGACAACCAACCAGTGATGTCAGAGCAATTTTCACCTATATCCAATATTCAACACGTCGTAGTTATAACTTAGCGGTGCTTCGACTTATTCCACTCATCAGTGTTTTCAGACACTCTGTTTTATACCTGTGAAGGCATGGAAGACTTCCATTGCTGACTAATTATTCAAACCTTCCAACAGAATCAGAATCACGTCCGACTATTTGGTATCTGCTTCTGTCACGGGCTCCTTAGACAAGATATCATATTACCGTCTTTTTTCAATATGGCACTAAAAAAAAAAACCTTCATAACTTAGGGCCAAGGTTTTGAGATTCAAAGGTTCATACATTAAGTTTGTCTCAACCCAGAATGGAAATATGCATGTAATTGGATTATCAAAGTGATAACATAAGATTTCGGCCAATTGGCGACATAACTGCATTAAGACTCGCCCATACC